TTAGGATTTGACGAATACATTTCAACTGTGTGTGCTTTGAATGCTGATACTACTGATCCAATGATGCGAGGCTTTAATAATAATGGAAAATATTTATCTGATCAATTTTGTTCTGTTTACACGTTGGAAGGAAATGAAACTAAAAGAACAGTAAGCGATCTATTTTCAAGACATTGTTATGCTGCTGTCATGGTTTCAATTATGACATTAGCCGGCCTACAAATACCAAATCATCAATTAGGTACTGTTGGTGAATCATTAGTTCATATTATATGTGTAGTTTCTTCTAATGCTCATGGTATATCACAATCCTTGGATTGTGAGACACAATTTAAGAAGAGTCTTGAGGTTAATAAAAGATTTATACCAGTTGCTTCTTTGTTAATGCCAGTGTTGAGCTTACTAAACCATCATTGTGATCCTAATGTAGTAAGACACAACTACAATGGAACTATAGTCCTCACTGCTATTCAGCCTATTTCTAAAGACTCACAGGTAATAATTGTATAACCATTATTCAAATATATTTTAATTGTTAACAAAATAATTAAAATGATTACACCTTATTTTAAATTGTATATTTTTTTTTACCGAATTAATTTTCTATTCAATCAATATAATACTTAGATAACTTAGGTCTCRTAAAATTAATTTATAACTGGTAGTTGTCTTAGTGTGTTTCCCTAACCTTACTGATATTTTTGTTTTTAGCTTTTTGATAATTATGGTTTATTGTATGCTACACATCCCAAAGAATTTAGACATCAAATACTTAAAAACCAATATTGTTTTTGTTGTGAATGTTCAACTTGTAAAGACAATTGGCCGTTGTATGATGTATTAGCTGATCAGCCACGATCAGAGTAAGAAACAGTAATTACTTCAATAATATTATATATTTGTATTCATCAGTTATTTTATTACAGATGTAAAATACTTACTGACATCAGTTATAAYTTGTTACAAAAATCATCGATCAAGTTGTATGAAATAATTAACAAAATTCAATCAAAAGAATGTGATGGTCTCCAATACATTCAGTTCTTGTACTCTCATTTGAAACTTCTTCACAATAATATAAAAAGACCCTGGAAAGAGTACTGTGACTGCCAAGAAACTATCAAAGAGATTCTCTATAGTACAAACAATAAGTTTATTATTGAAGATAATTAATAATTGTTAAATATATTGAGGAGTTATTTTTTTTAATCAAAAACATTTAAATTTTTATGCAATAACCAATGTGACAGTTATATTTTTTTTTTATATATATATAAATATTGAAGTTTAATATTATTATTTTTTTTATTAAGAAACATCTTAAATTTTATGTTGTGACCTAGCCAAAAACTTATTTAAACCATGTATCTACATTATTATAATTTGTCTACTATTATTTAAATTCTTAAATTTCAACATAAGAAATAAACAATTGTAAGTACTAATAATGTTTAAAACAAACACAAGATTTAAWATATAATTTACTATTCAATATTTAATAAAACTTACTTTTATTATCAGGTCATGAAATTGTTTACAAAAATATTTATTGTATTATATACACAACAAAAAGTCATAATTCATTGTAAAAAGGGTAGTTATTTAAAACTAAAGAAATTAAATGTTGATCTTTGTTTGATTTTTTAGTATCAAAATGATTTAATTTACATTTAAAAAATAAGAAATCTTCTTAATTCCTTAGAGAAAGTTTTGCATTCAATTTGCATTGGTTTCCTCGTTTGGATTGTCTTCAGCGAGACTATCATCATCTCCAGAATCCGTGCTATGTTCATGTAAAAGCACATATTCTCTAGAACTGAACCCAAACTTAACGACGTCTTTTTCCATCAATTCGACATATTTTTTTGGATCTATGCGCTGGTTATTAACATATGTGCCATTAGCTGACTCTAAATCAATAATATATGGCCGAATACATCTGACATGGCGCCCATCTTTTTTGGCTGAAACTAACCTGTATTGAAGAGCTGCRTGCTGTTTAGAGCATGACGGATGATCAATTGGTATGTCTGCCACTTTACGATCRCGTCCGAGTAAATATCCACTTTGTCTATGTATGTGTAATACCGGTAATTGTTTCTCTCCTTTAAACGGGTATAATCGCCAGCGTCGTTTCGGTTTTCTCGCCTCAGCTGGCTCACTATACTTTATGACTACTCCATTAAAAGTATTTGTATCCTCAGCTAACTTGCCAGTAGTTTCAAAATTTGGTTCTTCTTTTTTCACTAYAGGTTTCTTTTCACTAGACGAGRTTTTGGTGCCCCATACGTGATCAGCATCCGACTCGCCTTGATTCCTTGAGTTGTCCCTGCGATTATGCCTTGGCCTCTTTCTACGATTATCGTCGTCCGAATTTGAATTATGTCTTCTAGGTTGTCGTTCAGGGGATTTGTTACTGTCACGATACTTGTGTGKCTTTCGACGGTCAAAATTGTCTTCTCTAAAATCAAATAAATTAAAAATGATTAATTGTCATGTTTAAGTTTAAAATTTGATTTTGAATGTCTGAGGGCCATAATCAAAACAGCTGAACA